CTTTCACTGTGAAGCATTCAGTGTGCCAAAGTGCTATGCTTTGGAGTATCTTTTTCTGGGCCCCAGCATTAGCCATGTGTGTTTCCTTTTCAGATCTTTAAACTGAAATTACTTGGATTTACTTGTATGTTGTACATGTATTTTACAGAAAGTACAGGCCCTTTGGAGATGCTGTAGGTGGTACAGCTTTATAGTTCTAATTCGCTGTGTATTTGAAGTATCAAAGTAAAACCAGATTGTTTACATATTGGTGTCTGTAAAAGTTTCCCAAATGAAAATCGGGCTTTTAAAAAATGAATTTCTAGCCTGGGCAACATGATGAAACCCCATCTCTACAAAAAAAATTTTTTTTTAATTAGCCAGGCATTGTGGCATGCACCTGTAGTCCCAGCTACCCAGGAGATTGCAGTGGGAGGATGGCTTGAGCCTGGGAGGTGGAGGCTGCAGTGAGCTGACGTCACACAACTCCACTCCAGCCTGGGCGGCAGAGCGAGACTCTGTCTGGAAAAAAAAAAAAATCCAAGTTACTGTTCACGGATTCAATAAGGAATTGTGCCTGTTTCCTTTGTTAAGCATTAGGGATTCAAAATTGAAAAGATTCTTGCCTTCAAGAAGCTGGCAGTCTGTAAGGAAGAGGCAGAAAAACAGTAAGATAATTGCTTTAATGAGAGTATATATATGTGCATTTTGGCACAAAAACGAGTCTCTCAGTCCTCTTGGGAATGTTGGGACAGGTGTTTTGATGAGTGTGGGTTAAGGGTCGGGTTGTTTTTTTTTTTTTTTTTCTTTTTTCTGTTAACCTTAACAAAAAGTAAATCATAGAATTTGTGTGTTGATTGTCCACCATATGCCAGGCACTCTGCCGGTTAGCAGGTCTACCCCTGTATAGTAGGCATGCATTTTAACATGTGTACAGACACACATACATATATATACACACAGGTGTATATATATGCAGGCACTTATACAGAGAAGGGGCGAGAGGGAGGGAGAAGGGAAGAGCGAGGCGGGCGGACACCTTCACGGAGTTTCGTCTAGTGAGAAGAGGGAGTTTACAAGCAATCATCAGCATTATCACAGGGACATAATTTAGCCAAGGAGTATAGAAAGGGCAGGGACTACCTGAGGTGGTGACTATTAAGTCTGAGACTGAAGGACAAGACAGAGAGAACTAATATGAATAAGGAGAGGGCATGAAATTTCTATGCAGAAGGCACTTTGTGTTCAGAGGTTGGCAGGTGTGAGACAACTGAAAGAAGGCCTCTGTGACTGGAATGTGGCGAGGCTGGAGAAGTTAGCAGAAGCCAGAGTGACCGTAACAGGTCTGTTGCTTAAGGCATGGCATGTCACTACACTGACACCAAGGCTTTAAGTGGAGAAGGAATTTAATAATTATAGGCCGCTGAAAGAGGAGATGGGAGGAAACCGTAGTCATTGGTTTGCCAGGTATACCACATTTTGGGGTAGTATGTCCTGAACTCCCTGAGGAGTTTAGGTCTAGATATTTTAAGGGGTTTGGAGTGGGCCAATGTCTGGAGATTGTTGATTAGTTGAAGAGTGCAGGGTGAAGTCATAGGATGGGAGATGGAACTGCATTCTCGCACTGATTTCCTTTCTGTGTGGGAGTCTTAACCGGTTGGCCTCAGCTGTTTCACTGTAATACAGCGTCTGAAGAACATCTTAAGTAATTCTTCAACAAAATAAAGCTTACAATTCTAATGTCAGTGATCCTGTCTATAAGAACAGTGGGCATGCAATTGATTCTTAAACAAAAGCCTTGTGATTCTAAGGTCAGAAATCCTTTCTAGAGGAACAGTGGGGAGGCAAATGGTCAGTGTCTAGTGCTGTATAACTTTGGCTACAGGGAAGTGGGTCACAGTGTGGCCTGATTAAAATTTAATTATCACTATATTTCTGCCCAGAACTTAGCATGTAATTCTTGTTAGCCTATGAAGACTATTTTACCAGATTTCAAAGGGGTTTGTTAGGGGAAAAAAGTACAGTTGACTCTTGAACAACACAGGGGTTAAGGGGACTGACTCCAGTCTCAAAGGCAAATGGAAATCTTTGTATAACTTTTGACTCCCCAAAAACTTAACTACTAATAGCTTACTGTTAACCAGAAGCCTTACCAATAACATAAACAGTTGATTAACATGTATTTTGTGTGCTATATGTATAATATGCTACATTTTCACAATAAAGCAAGCTAAAGAAAATAAAATGTAACTAAGAAAATTACAAGGACGAGCCGGGCGCGGTGGCTTACGCCTGTAATCCCAGCACTTTGGGAGGCTGAGGCAGGAGGATCACAAGGTCAGGAGTTCGAGATCAGCCTGGCCAATATGGTGAAACCCCATCTCTACTAAAAATACAAAAATTAGCCAGGCATGGTGGCGGGTGACTGTAGTCCTGGCTACTCAGGAGGCTGAGGCAGGAGAATCGCTTGAACCTGGCAAGTGGAGTTTGCAGTGAACCGAGATCGCACCATTGCACTCCAGCCTGGGTGACAGAGTGAGACTCTGTCTCAAAAACAAACAAACAAAACAAAAAAAAAATTACAAGGACAAAAATATATATATTTACTATTCATTACGTGGAAGTGGACTGTGGAGATCTTCATCTTCGTTGTTTCACGGTGAATAGGAGGAGGACGAGGAGTTGGTCTTGCTGACTGAGGGGTGGCATAGGTAGAGGTGGTGGAGGGAGACGCAGGTACACTTGGTGTTACTTTTATTGAAAAAAATTCATGTATACATGGACTTGCCCAGTTCAAATCCATGTTGTTCAAGGGTCAATGGTATTATCTTTTTCTTTTCCATACAAGGTTCATGGCTGAGACTCCTAAAACAAAAGCAGGTGAACAAAAGAAAAGCAAATTTATTTAATATAAGTTTTACATGACATAGGAACCTTCAGAAATTAAGATAAAAGAAACAGAGACACCTGTGTGTTTTTATGTTAACTTTGATGAATAGTGGAGATTCATGGAGAAATATGATTGGAGGATGAAAGGATATTTCTGATATTCTTTCAGTAATAAATGGGGGCGGGGGAAACTTAGGAAGACCTGTTCAGATTCTTTTCTTCAGGGATAGGAACATTCCTTTATTTCAGGTATACACAGGCTACCTCTGTAAAGAGGGTCTTGGACCTACTTTAGGGGAAAGTTAGAGAATTATTTTATGGACTGCTTCAGGGGGAAAAGGTAGAGAAGGTGAGAGTGGCCTTCCTGATTCTGCTGTTTTCTCATATGCCAAGGTATACCATATTTTGGGTTAGCATGTCCTGAACCCCATCAGGGGCATAAGCTATATTATGCATATATTATCATTATTCCTCACAGCAACCTGTAGTGTTCTTGTTCCTATTTTATTGAATTGGAGAGATTTTAATAACTTTCCAAAATTATCCAGCTAGTAAGTGGCGAAGCAGGAGTTTAAACATTATTGTTTTGTAGTGAAATAATCCAGCTCCATAAAATATTTAAAGAGGTTTATTCTGAGCTAAATATGAGTGGCCATGGCGCGAGACACAGTCTCGGTCCTGAGAACATTTGCCCGAGGTGGTTGGCTTACAGCTTTTTTAGGGAAATATAAGGTATCAGTCAATACCTCGGACATATTTTCTCCTCCTTCCTTTTGACAAGGAAATTTTAGCTCCAAGGGTTATAAAGAGATGAAGATCCATCTTCTCTTCTTTAGGCTGAATGGGGTGATGTTATTCCCGCCCAACTATTAGGATCTCTTGTATTCACGGTAGAGAGGTACTTGGTCAGAAAGCATCTGTATGGTGACAGCCATTCATAACTCTGAGTGAGTTCTGACGGAAGGTGATATTTAGGAGACTAGTAAGTGTTCAGTTTAAGAAAAGCTTGAGTAAGCTTATCCTGCGTTCCTACCCAAAGGGCACAATGACAATATATTCCACAAGAGTAAAGCAAAATAATTACACTTATCTCAAGTAAACTAAATAAGAAGGCTTTCCATAAACTGGGCAGTTGTTGGAATCAAGCTGACATGGAGTGGCTATTTCAGTATGTGCCCAGAATTGTAATATTGATCCAGAGTTTTACATTACCTATTCCTCTTGTTTCTTCCTTCTGAGCTGCATCCAGAGATCACTGGCTGGTTCACAGGTAAGCTGGGTCAGTCTAAATTGCAGGAAAAATACTCAAAAACAATGGACAAGACTACATTCTAATAACAGGTGTACTATAGTTATTGAAACATAATTTTTCTCTCTCAAGTCTCCCATTTTTACTAAAGACAAAAAGCATGATAAGCTTGATTTGTTTGCAAAATAAACTTTAGTCTTTTTATTCCTGGCCTGATGATTTGTATAAAGTGCAGCAAGAATAATTTTTGCTATATAGTCTTTTTTAAAATTGGCTTTGATGGAATTTTCTTCCGTAAGGAACTTTAGATTAGACTTCTTTTTAAAGATTTGAGCCTAGCCAGGCGTTTGTGCTTGCAATACCTGTGTGAGTTGGATAAATTGTTTCCTTCTCTTACTGTCCCAAGATAACCTGGGCCTGTCAGAAAGTGACATTCTTTACTTACCACAGGTCAGGAACCCTATACAGAGACTGTGTAGACAAGGTTGGAGGCCAGTTTTCCCAAGGAGCTTTTATTGGCTCTGTAATGCAACTTTGATTCTTTAAAGCAGTCTGTTTATATTTGAAAGCATGCCATTTCAGTCAAAGCCTTGGTAAAATAACCAGTTTCTCCAAATGTGCCCTGTCACAAAAGAAAACAGATTCTTATTGCACTTATGCAAATAATTATATTGTCATAAATTACAAATACAAATAGTTTCCAAATTCTGGAGAAATTGGGTAGAGAGAAAGAAATATGCTTCAAATTTTGTTTATAGGAGTACACTTTACCCAATTGGTACAAAAATAGTTGCAATTTCAGACCATGAATTATAAATCTTTGTAACTAGGCCCAAACACATCTTTATTAATCAAAATAATAACCATTACATTCAACACAGTCTGGCCAATGAGAAATAAGTTTATTCCTGTAGCATAAAAATCTATGCTTTGGGATTTGACAAACTCTTAGGAAGCATTTTCTGCATTCCGCTGGTTGTGGAAGTGTTTTTCCTGCAAAAAAAGTTGTCAAGATGCTTGAAGCAGTAGTAGTCAGTTGACGAGAGGTCAAGTGAACATTGCAGATGAGGCAAAACTTTATAGCTCAATTCATTCAACTTTGGAAGCATTGTGTGCAGTTGGCATTGTTTTGGAGAAGAATTGGGCCCTTTGTATTGACCAATGCCAGTTGCTGGTGTTGCAGTTTTCAGGGCATCTCATTGATTTGCTGAGCATACTTCTCATATGTAATGGTTTCGCTGGAATTCAGAAAGCTGTAGTGCATCAGACCAGCAACTGACCACCACACAGTGACTGTGACCTTTTTTTGGTGCACATTTGACTTTGGAGAGTGCTTTGGAGCTTCTTCTCAGTCTAGCCACTGATCTGGTTGTCATCAGTTGTTGTATAAAATCTACTTTTCATCGCACATCACAATCTGATCGAGAAATGGTTTGTTGTTGTTATGTAGAATAAGACAACACTTCAAAATAATGACAATTTTTTTTTAATTTTCACTCAGCTCATAAGGCACCCACTTATCAAACTTTTTTACCTTTCCAATTTGCTTCGAATGCTGAATGACCATAGAATGGTTGATGTTGAGCTCTTTGTCAACTTCTTGTGTAGTTGTAAGAGGATCAGCTTTGATGATTGCTTTCAACTAGTCATAATCCACTTCTGATGGCTGGCCACTACACGCCTCATCTTCACACCTCTTGTCTCCTTTGCAAAACTTCTTGAACCACCACTGCTCCGTAAGTTCATTAGCAGTTCCTAGGCCAAATGCATTGTTGTTGTTGCAAGCTGTCTCCACTGCTTTAGACCCATTTTGAACATGAATAAGAAAATCGCTCAAATTTGCTTTTTGTTTAATATCATTTCCATAGTCTAAAATAAAGATAAAATAAGCAGCAAGTAGTAAATCATTAGTAAAAACACATAAAGCGAGCAATGCCCATTAAATTACGTGTAACATAACCACAGTTATTTAAGAATGTACTGCAATATCAAACAGTTTCCAACAGTGCAAAAACTGAAATTTCTTTTGTATCAGCCTAATAAAAACTGTAAATAGCTCAAAAGAAAAGTTTTCTTAACTCTGAAAAAAGAAAAAAAAAGAAAGGATGGGCAATGTTTCAAGCAGAAAGTCATAAACAGATTATTCATTCTTTAATTCAGTTTATGCAATTCCTGTTTTGCTCAATATTTATGAATACATTAGTTTTTCAAGAGAGTGTTGGAAGTTCTTTCCTATTTTATTGGCATACTTTGCAGAGTTACCAGAGACCTGCATTTAAGAGTACTCATCAGGGTCTTATAGTTGATTATAAACCATATTTTGAAGAGGATCAAAACAAGACAATTGTCTGTGAATGACAAAACGTCTTAGGGCAGCCATAATCAAAGATGCAATTGACAAGGAAATTCGGTTACTTCTGTGGCATACAATAATTTAACATATTTAGTGGTAATGTACACTAAGTCATATCAAAATTCTAGGTGTTTCCAGTATTTTTGGAACACATACTAATATATTTATACAAATACAATCCAAAGAAAGCCAAATACCATTTCATATTTAACAGTGCTTCCTGTATGATTTTAACATACCAAATAAGCCAGATATGTCATTTTTTACTTTAGGGGACTAATATCTAAAAGATTAATTAAGAGAAAGACATAATTTATAATTTGACTTTGACAGTTTGTCAAATATCAAAGGTTTAAAATATTTGATATTATAAAATAGAATCCCAGCTTACAGTAAGTCATTTATTTAGCCAAAATCATAAAGATTTTAAAAAGACAAAAGCCTTCACCCATTAGTACAAGAGTAGTTAGTTTTCCAATCTCTTTTTTTCCTGCCTTTTTTCTGTAGCATAGGCAAACAAAAAGCTGTTATTATCTTTAAATATTACATGAAAATCCTGTTCAAGACACAAGGCCAAATTTCACCTTTGCATTAGTGTACTATGAATGTTAAACCCAATTCTTAGTAAAACCTTTAGATAAATTTATCCATTCTTAATCAGTTTGGCCATAAGGTAAGACTCCCGTAAACCTTTTATAAACTGTTACAATTTTCTGTTAAAAATAAAAGATTAATGTTCTAAGAAAACATCATTGCTTTTATTTCAAAGTTCAATTAATATAAAAACCGAATATTACCCCTTTAACTTTAGCCAATATGTTTACACATGGAATTTCTTTTTTTTTTTTAATTGCATTTTAGGTTTTTGGGTACATGTGAAGAACATGCAAGATTGTTGCATAGGTACGCACATGGCAGTGTGATTTGCTGCCTTCCTCCCCATCACCTGTATCTGGCATTTCTCCCCATGCTATCTCTCCCCAACTCCCCACCCCCTGCTGTGCTTCCCCTGTTTCCCCCCAACAGACCCCAGTGTGTGATGCTCCCCTCCCTGTGTCCACGTGTTCTCATTGTTCAACACCCACCTATGAGTGAGAACATGCGGTGTTTGATTTTTTGTTCTTGTGTCAGTTTGCTGAGAATGATGGTTTCCAGGTTCATCCATGTCCCCACAAAGGACACGAACTCATCGTTTTTGACACCTACATAGTATTCCATGGTGTATATGTGCCACATTTTCCCTGTCCAGTCTATCATCGATGGGCATTTGGGTTGGTTCCAGGTCTTTTTATAAACTGCTGCAATGAACATTCTACACACGGAATTTGTTTTACAAGATTAGTCTTTCACAAACCTTTCACAACTTGCTCAAACCTTCAGCTTTATCATATTAAATCCTTTAACTTTCTAAACCAGGCAAAAAAATCCACATCCCCATGCCTTATAATATTTTACCAAAACTGCATTCTGTTTTTTACACACCTTACATGTAAAACTGTTTATCTAGTTATCTCAGTTACATATGTTACAGTATTAACTCCTAGCAACTTTTATTTTTGGTAAAAATCCTGGTAAGTGATTTTATTTATGTACCAAGTGTGGAGGCTAGGACACCAGACAGAAGTGCAGACAAGGTCTGATGCTTTCCAGCATACCCAGGGGGCATGACCAGCTCCACAGCTCCCCAGGCCTTATCTGGAATCTGATGGCTCCAAAGCAGTCAAGTTGAACACGTGTCAAGTCAAAGAAGCAGTTTATGACCTTAAAGCATTTAATTCATTCAAAGTGGGGTAGAATGACCTTTGACCAGGAGTTTCAACATGTGGTCCCTGGGCAGGATGGAAGAGCAGAAAGTCAGTCGCCCTGAGTAACAGAAAAGATGGGGTGACACACAAAAAAGGGTGTGTGCATGAGTGAGGGGAAGGAGGGAAGCATTGCCTGAAGTGGGGTTTGGCAGATGGGGAGCACAGGGAGGCCAGGGAAAGACTCACCTAGCGCAGTGACACTGAATCAAAAGGTCAGGCGGCTGCTTGTCAGCCACAAAGGGATCTTGATCTCCAGCCTCCCCATCAGCTCTTAAGTTTCTCCTTTGAGAAGAAAAAGCTCCCCATGTCCCATGCGCTTCTGAACATGCCTAATTCTGTTACCCACAGCCAACAGCAAAGAGCACAAGGCAAGTTAATCCAGAGTTAACCCCCTATTTCTTAGGAGGGACTTTAACCCTGCTAAATTGGGCATTTAACCCGGGGATTAATCCAAAGAACTTTAACCCCCTATTTCTTAGGAAGGATGCTAACTCTGCTAAGTTGGGCCTCTAACCTAATTCTGTTTTTTACCCTAGACAAAATACCTCACCACTTACCCAAAGTTGACCAATTAGTGGTGCAGTGTATTCTGCAGGGGTTTGGGTCAGGGGTTTCTCCAGTATCGTTGCTTGGTGGTTTGCCAGGAAGATGTTACTGGAAGTGGGTCCCAATCCAGACCCAAAGAGAGGGTTCTTGGATCTTATGCAGGAAAGAGTTTAAGGAAATTTATAGAGTAAAGTGAAAGCAACTTTTTTTTTTTAATTATACTTTAAGTTCTGGGATACACGTGCAGAATGTGCAGGTCTGTTACATAGGTATACACATGCCATGGTGGTTTGCTGCACCCATCAACCCGTCATCACATTAGGTATTTCTTCTAATGCTATCCCTCCCCTACCCACCCTCCCGCCCCCATGAATGCAAGTTTATTAGAGGAGAAACAAAAGAATAGCTACTCCATAGACAAAGCACTCCCAAGGACTGCTGGTTAGTTATTTTTATGGTTATTTCTTGGCCATATGCTAAACAAGGAGAAGATTATTCATGAGTTTTTTGGGGGAAGGGATGGGCTTTCCTGGAACAGAGGGTTCTTCCCCTTTTTAGACCATGTAGAGTAACTTCTGAACATAGCCATAGCATTTGTAAACTGTCATAGCATTGGTGGTAGTATCTTTTAGCATGCTAATGCACTATAGCTAGTGTATAATGAGCAGTGAGGACAACCAGAGGTCACTTTCATCTCCATCTTGGATTTGGTGGGTTTCAGCCAGCTTCTTTACATCCTGTTTTATCAGCAGCGTCTTTATTACCTGTGTCTTGTGATACCAGTCCTGCCGACTTCCTGTCTCATCCTGTGACTTTGAATGCCTAACCACCCTGAAAATGCAGACCAGGAAGCCTGAGCCTTGTTTTACCCAGCCTCTATTCAAGATGGGGTTGCTCTGGGTCTGATGCCTTTGACAATATTGCTGGATCATTTTAGATTCTTATCCTAAATGGTAAATGTAGGACCTTTTTGACCATCAAAAATAAGAGATTCTAGCAAATTGGAAAGTGTTTTATCTTATGTGTGCATATTTATATAGGGGAGTAAGAAATAAATATAAAATCCTAAGCCCCGTAACAGACTGAACAGACCTCCTCTTAGCCAAAGGGAACCAGAGTAACCTTGAAAACTGAGTTCTTAGCCATGATGGGATAGGAGATCAGATATGCTTCTTACACCTGCTCTCTTGCTAACCACAATTAGGCTTTCTTACCTAAGTGCTGAGGAGAAACCAGCCCTTTCAAAAGACTCCACCACTGATTTAAACCAACAACCTGACACTGCTTCTCCCTTTTTGCTGTTTTCGCACAACTAAGCAGCATTTTTTCCCACAAGAGGCCACCAACCACAAAATGCTTCGGGCCAGTCTACAGACACTGCACAACAAGGGTTTTCTGGTCATCTTCTTTACCTTTTGACATCAGAGAGGAGCAATCTACCCTTGGATCTTGCTAATGTCACCATTTTTTTTTATACATAGGTCCCATGAAGGAACATGAAGCTCAGTTGCACGTGTGCACCTTTCTCCTTTCATAAATATTCATGACTCCTCTGACAGCTTATTAAATATGTACATTTGGCCACCTGCTTAGCATGAATTTCTGTTCCCTCTGCCCCTCCCCCAAAGTGTTTGTGTCTGGCTTCTGGCCTAAGGCTGTGCTTCCCAACCTGTCAGAATGGCCACCCTACAGGCTGCAACCCTTCCTGAGAAATAAAGCTCTCCTTTCCAGATTTATTAACCTTGTCACTCTTCAGTTGACAGGAGGAAAAATATCTTTCTCTCACCCATCCTAGATTCATGGCTAAGACCCCTATAACAAAAGGCAGATTAATAAGAAAAAAGCCACTGGGCATAGTGGTATGCACTTGTAATTCCAGCTACTTGGGAGGCAGGGGTGGGAGGATCACTTGAGCCCAAGAGTTCAAGACCAGCCTAGGCAACATAGACTCTATCTCAAAGAAGAAGAAAAGAAGAAAAAAGCATACAAATTTAATGTAAGTTTTATGTGACATGGGAGCCTTCAAAAATGAAGACCCCAAAAAACAGAAACTTTGTGTATTTTCATGCTAGATCTGATGAAGAGTGGACAATTGTGTAGAAATATGACTGGACAAAGAATATGATCTAGTGGCAGTAAACTGAGGCAACTTAGCAAGATCTGTTTATTCATATTCCTCTCTGTATCCCTGCATCTTCAGAGATGAGAATGTTCTTTTTCTCCAAGTTTATGGTGGGTACCTCTTATATGAGGGTCTTATTCCTGCTTCAGGAGAAAATCAGAAGATCCTTCCTAGGTTTTATGCCTGTTTCAGGGGAGAAGGGCAAGGGAAGGTGAGAGTGACCCTCCTGTTTCTGTGGTTTTCTCAGATTCTTTCAGCTTAAAGTATATCATATGCCACAGTGCCATATTTTGGGATATTGTGTCCTGAACCCCATCACCCATGATCATAAATGAAAGGAATTAGGCTTCGGAAAGGAAGGAAAAAAGAAAAATGAAAACAATTTAAGAAGTTAGCTCTAAGGCTCTGGATCTGCTTCTAAGGAACCTGTGTGGGGTTTTATAAGAAAATTTAAGAAATAGCAAAGCTGTCTGAGGCGAAAAAAAAAAAAAAAAAAAAAAGCAAGCTCACCTGTTGCCAAGAGTATTGAACTGCTTTGCACATGAAGAATAGAATGAACTTGTCCCTCTGCTTGTGAGGAAAGATAGATAAATGACTTTGGAAGACCTAAAACAGTTTACATCAATATGCGAATCAAGTCACTTACCACTTATCATCTCCCTGGAATGCTGTGTCGTTCCATCTTATCTGAATTAAAAACAGAATATCTATCTTGTATGGTACCATCTTTCATAATATGAAGTCTATGTTTTAAAATGTCTAAAAATCGTGTATTTTTATCCAGGACCTTTTTTATATACTAACATATTAAGGATATGCAGATATAACAGGGCAGTATTCCTGATGCTTTACAAACCATCTCATAAACTTGACTTGTTTTACTTAATACTCAAGCAAACTGCTTTTTTCATAAGTTGGCAAGAGTTTTTTGATTTTTCTCCCCTCTCCTGTTTATGATTGTACACCAAAAACACTAAGCAATGAAACCATCATTTGAGCTTAAACTTTTTCCTTGAGTGGATATTTCCTGAATCTTATGTCCTGTTACTCTTATTTTTTAATCAATCATTTTTCACTCATTTCACAATCACTTTTGAGTTCCTACTTTGTGCTTAGAACACAGAAGACCTCAAAGTATTTCATGAAAATAACTTATTTCTGTGTATTGGATTGATGGGCAAATCTTCATTCTAAGGAATATCAACGTGTTGTCAAGAGAGTTCATGAAAAGGACATTATCACATCACAGTTTTCAAAACAATATGGGTCTTGGTTTAAGAATGTTAACTCAGTTTTTAAGTTGCCTTATAAAAGGCTTCTTGTGTATTAATTGCTTTTTTTTTTTTTTTGAGAAAATAGAGAACAGAGATCTCGCTGTATTGGCCAGGCTGGTCTTGAGCCCCTGGCCTCAAGCAGTCCTCCTGCTTTGGCCTCCCAAAGTGCTGGGATTACAGATGTGAACCACTGCACCGAGCTGTGCTGTCATTCCAACTGGGTATGAGTAAGGGAATTCCTGTAATATCTTGGATGTGTTGAACCTTTCATTGAATGGATAATATCAGCTTATAGGTTGTATGCTATTCTAAATAAACCCTCAATATTCCTTCAGCTTCTCTGCCTACTTTCAGTTGTGGCCAACCCCAAAGAAAGGTTCATGGCATCATTTTGTGAATATGAATTTGGGGGAAGAGTTCAGAGGATGTATTTTATTGATGATTTGGGTGTGATCTATTTTTGGCATGCTATTTTTAATACATTACAGATTTCCTGGCCAGCTTTTCCATAGCGCTTGGGTAACATTACTTTTTATTGAACTGAATCTTAGGTGCAGGTGTTTTTGGAGACCTCCTGCACTGATTCCATGGACCAGTGTGATGTCATTATTGCCTGTTCCTAAGAGCCCCTTGTAGCCACTTCTGCTCCCACTTTTAGCCATGAGGATTATACTTGTTTGTTTCCAGCCCATAGAATGGCATGCTGGTGTTTACCGTCAGCTGTGCCGCTGTTTCCTGAGCTGCTGTGTGCTGTTATCTTCTGCATCACTGCACCTCAGACGTCTGGCCTGCTGTGACTGCTGGCTGCAACTCTGCGATCAATCAGCCAGTTGAAGGCCTACTCCTATGCACCAGTGAGGCTGCTCCTGATATCTGGCATTTACTGTGCAGTCCCCATGTAGTGATTGCTACCAGTACCTTCATCAGACCATTGCTGAGCGCCAACTTCATGATTGGCACTAAAGCTGCCGTGTTGAAAGACATAGTGCCTGTTCTCGAGGAAGGTGGCATCCAGTGAAACAACAGGAGCAGGCATGTGGCAGCAGTGGAGATGTACCACTTATGTGGGAGCATGGAGGAAAGAGAGCCTGGGTCTGCCTGGCCTGTCAGAGGAGGGGGCAGTCGAGCTGAGATGTGGAGGGGATGTGTAGAAGTTGGCCGAGTGCAGGCCTCTGAGGAAAGGGTGACCGCAGTTAGGGGTTGGCATGGCTGCTTTGGGGAACCATCAGGTTTCGGCTGTGTGTCCTTCATCTGCAGCTGGGAAAGTGTCTTCCTCGGGATACTTCCTGAATGGTGGTTTTGTTGCGAAGCTGTTCTTATATGTCTTTACTGAGTGTAATGTTGTTGTAGCCAGTAGAAAACAGGAAGAGGGGTAAAACCTCTGAACACTGTTTTGAATAAGAAGTAGCGCTGGCCGGGCGCGGTGGCTCACGCCTGTAATCCCAGCACTTTGGGAGGCTGAGGCAGGTGGATCACGAGGTC